ATTGACCAGAAACAAGTTTAAAAATCACGAGGTAATTTTAATTTCATTTTTTAAAAATCTATTACGAAGATATGTAAAACAGATATGAGAAACGTATCGTCTGACCTAAAGGTACTCCGTTTCTCGGGTCCTGAAAATCAGGCATGGACTAATTACAAAGGCTCACAAAAATGTCTCTGAATTCTCAAAGTCGTGTGTTTTACCCACAATGATTCTTAAAACTTTGTCTTTAACTTTAATCATATTATATGGGAAAAATAAGTTAATCTTAAATAAACAGCCATTGCTGCCTTACCGAGGATTACTCAAGTAATCACCTGTTTCTATTTATAGATACATGTACCTTTGCAATTCAAAATCAAACTACATGAATGTAATCATTCGTGAACTACTGTAATATTTTTATAGCTGTAAGCTTGTTACATGATAATAATTTTACTTGTTCAATACTCTTATTTTTAACAAGATTGTTAGAAAATTGTTAAAAATAAAACAAGCTAGCAGCTACATGTATCATGACTTTGGGTCATTAAAATAGCTTAAGACTGATTTTTCCCGAGATACTTTCAAGGTGTAATGGTGTATTATATATCTCTTACATTATTTATACATGTATTATAGAATAATAAAAGAAAACATGGGGAAAATGCACAGAGAGACAAAAAAATAAAATGGTAGACAAGAAACACACACTGTTAGACTCGAACTCTCGATCATCATGTTTGCAATCCAGCAATCATACCACTACGCCACGAAATCGTGAGAATTAAATGGATAAATTTAAGACAGATTGTTGAATCTTGAAATAATTAAATAAAAAAATTGAATACATATTTTCAACATTTTCAATATGGAGACCACCTTTAACCAAAATTATCTAAATGTAATGATGTGCAGTCATATCCAAATAAAATTATTCAGAAGCTGTTTTTCTGGTTAAGGGTGGTCTTTTGATACAGTTTGTCATTGTTAAGGGTTTTTTTTCAGTATTTACTATATTCTCCATATAAACAGAACGATTTTTATATCTATCATATGAGGGAACTATTAATATTTGAATATCATTTTTGTGTGATTTGCTATCAGGCATGTATAAACTTACATTGTATGACAAAATTTTGGTTAAACAATGCATTTAAAGAATTACTGCTACAATAGGCAAAAGTGACTATCAAATGCGTTATGGCTTTTTTCAGGAAATGTGAACAAAAATACTTATTATGCATTTTCCTATTCCAATTTGGTCAAACACATTTTAGCAATAAATATCACTGGTATCCAGGCTTTTGAATAATTGTTGTCCATGTAAGGTACACATGTAATTCTAAAACACTTTTCTGGGATTAAACTGACCTTTCCCATTATGAACAGAACAAGGAGAGTTATTTTTCTGACGTAAGAATTTCGGACAACAAAGCTATCTTTTAATTTATGTTATAGTTCTATGGACCCTATACGCCGTGCTGTATTATACTGAAGTGAATGTTAAGACTCTTGAACCTCCTTTTATATTAACTTAAGATAATATTACATATCATAATTTTGATGTGTGAAATATTTCATATTTAATTTTGCATTTTACATTTTTCTTTTGCACATTTATTGTTCTTACAGACTATTATTTAGGTATATTACCTGTACTTTGGATTACGACTGAAATCCCTGCACTGCGCCCGTAGTTCTTACTATTCTGTCGCACTTGACACTTGAAAGTTTCATTCCTCTCTACAGTCTTATTCAAAAACAATACAGCACCTTTTGTGAATAGAGTCACATATTGTCCTTCTTTAGGCCTATAAATGAACCATGAATATGCGCACTGCATAGATTCCAGGCAGTTTGATTCACAAGTAATATTTTCTTTTGGCTTTTTTCCAACCTCAGAGTAAAATATTGTTCGGTTTGGTGGTTTTATATATACCTTTATTTCTGTAAAAAAAATTTGTATGATATATATAGGCATTTAAAATAATTATCTTGATTTTCACATAATCTGGTATTCTAACTCTTCTTTGTCCATCAATTAAAGGCATTGCGTAACAAGTACAAGACCATTTCTAGTAATTCAAAAATACTTCAATCAGGAATAAAATGAAAGTTGTTGCTTAAAAGTTCTCAATTTCAAGTTTCGAGTTGATGTTTTTTAATTCAAAATAATTATTTTAAGATTTATTCTTTTTGGATGAGGATTGGATATCCTTATGGTCAAGACCTAGTAAATGAAAGGTGCCTACAGATTTATCAAATTTAAGAAATTAATTCCTTTCAGGTATGTCTCTCGTCAGCTTTTTATAAAAAATCATGCAGAACCTCTTACTTTAAAAATATTTATTAAAATTCAATTTTTATAAAATATTTAAATTCAACAATGTTAATTTTTTAACATTCAACGAAAAAAATGCTCAAAATTTTACAAAGAAGCAATATTTATGAGGGACTTTTTCTTGTGGTGGAAGGATATTTAGCAGAAATTACTGCAAATCTGCACACTTATTAAATTTAATGTCTTGAAACTTTAGCCTTACCTACTTTTACCCGGAGAATATTGTCCGTTGCGATATTGCTAGGAATATTTAATAAAGGTCTTCATTTATATTTAGAGTAAGTTTTTCACCTTCCCCAACAAATTTGCCCAAAAATAAAGAAATATTAAAGAAATCAAGATAAAATTTACAACCCTTACAGCCTAAAAGGAAGCTGAAATCTGTTGAAGGTGCCTCTCCAGATAAGCCACAGGACACTTTAAGGAGGCTAGGGGTCAACAGATTATTTTTTTATTCAACCACCAGATATAGCTTATTATTTTTAGAAATGATATCTTGAGCTGTCAAGTATCATTTGGCAAAGAAAATTTTCATAAATTTTACCTTTAAAATTAGATCATTTTATTATATCTTTATATGGAGCTCTTCTTCTAAAGGAGATCAAAATAGTCTAAAAATGGCCACGATCACCCAGCCTCTTTAAATACATGTCTTTACCAGAATCTACCACTAACTAATCTAACTATAATCACCAATTAGTGGAAAATCAAACAAGCCAGATTCAGATTCTAAATAACTTGGGAGTCCTTCTTTCATAAAATAGAAACCACAAGGTAATATACCACAATGTTTGGCATCAATAGGTTGTATCTATATAACTGCAAATATATCGTTTGGCTCTACTGTTTTTCAATACATAATGCAATATATTGTTTAGTATTTTTCGAACAATGGAGTTTTGTACAGTGTGATAATTGTTACTCACCTCGTTGATAAGTAAACCGCACAAAAATCCAAGCGAGCACAAGACAAACGTTTATTAGTCTCTCCATCTTTACATACTTGCTTTGTCGTATAATGTTTGATCAACAATGAAGAAATATCCATCCGTTAAAAAGACATATATGGTACTAGTACTTTAGATCATGTATACAATGAAGATTATTCACTTTAAAACTAAATCATCCATTTGTAAATCAAAAGTGGTGCAGCCTCTTCTTCCTTTTAAACATCTTTTATTTTCAACAGTTTTCAACCGCTTTTTTTAATCTAAAGACGTACATGTATAATTGTAGATTTTACTTTTGACGTATTAAGGCCAATCTTTTTCCCCACACTTTTCCATATTCTTATTACTAACACTTTTTCCTTAATTAAGTCTTATTATTAAGTAGGCATTTGACATTTTAAAACTTGTTTCAGTTTTTAAAGACTACATGTAGATGTTCCATTGAAACAAATGTCTTTGAACTTGTTAATTAAAAATCCAAAAGTATGAAAAATTACAGTGAGTGGAAATGAAACAACGAAATACCTGGGGTTTGATGTCACTCGAATTTCCTTCAATAGTCTCCGAGGCTTAGACATTCGGCCCATCCATAACTTGAACTACCGTAATAGATTAGTGTGGAAAGTTCATACCATTCAGTTTGACGTAGACTGTGTAAGAAGGATATGGAGAAAACGAACAGTATTCAATCTCAAAGTCTATAAAACAATACAAAATAGGAGCAGAGCAAACACGGACCTCTGAAACATCAGAGGTGGGATCGGGTACCATGGAGGAGTGAGCATCCCCTGCTGACTGTCACACGTGTGCTCCTTGTCATGCGAGGATTTAATTTTGGGATTATTAGCGAAGGTGATGATATCGCTAAAATTGAATATCGCTAAAAATTAATTCCGCTTTATTTGAAAAAGCTTTTTTAGTGAACTTTTTAAAAGCTCTAAAATTACATCTCGCTAAAATCAGAATACCAATTTCGAAGTACAACTCGCTAAATTAGCGTCTCGCTAAAATTTCTACTTATACGGTATTTGCTGACAAGGTCTTTGTATCGACCATAGAACTTAAGAAATGATGACTTTAAATGAGACTGCTAATATTCTTGTTTCATCAACTTGCTTGTCAATAATTTACCTCGTTTTAGAAATTGTTCATACGTAGATCATGCTCTTGTATATTGAAGAAACTGAGAGATATAAACCCCGTATGCAGGTGATGAATGTATATTGCTGCATATTAAGTAACATCTTTCCTAGTCAAGGGTTTTCGGTTAATGCGGACAGCATATTAAGTAAGGTAAGTTGACATTGAAGAGTTGAAAGTGAATCTCTTTTGTTATAACGCTTGGTTGTAAGATTACCTGTAAAGTCTTTTTCAAGCAAAATATCCAAATATGAAACAGATGTTTCACACTCTGTTGTATCTTTTATCTCAAGCTCACCAAGATATATCATATCAACAAAAGAATGGAAATAACCATACGATACGTCGTCGATATCTAAATTTCGAGATGAATGCCACAGCAAGTTTTCTTCTTTTTAGGTTTAAATTTTGGACAAATTCTGCTTTATATAAAGACAAAATTAGGCATCCTAATGTTATTACAAATGGTACCCAATGGAATTTCAATAGATTGTTGGAAAACCTTGTCCTCAACAACCATATGGATATTATTATTCAGAAACTCAACTCAAGCATCTTTTTAATGTCAAATTCAGAGTACCTGTGTGTACAATCAGAATCTCTTTAACTAAATAATTTTACAAATGACCCGTAGCAAGGTGTGTAAATTTACGAGTTCCATTTTTATTGAAAAAGCAGCTGTCACTGATATTCTAAATCGGCCGGACTTGAATTTATTCTGGGGAATAGCTGTATATGAGCTTTAAAAGTTGCAATGCTGTAGATTTTGATAAATTTTGTAATGTCTTATTTCCCAAAACGTCCCTATGATTTCTTTGTATCCACATCTGATTTTCACCACTAGTCACATGAGTAAGTCAGCCGCGATGGCTAGCCTTTCTATTGACCCTGAGATGCCAACCTTCAATAAATAAAATTTAATTCATTTATAAATGACATCTCTTTTTTATTAAACATTTGAAATACTTAATAATAATAATAGATATACTTATTACTTAATAATAAAACACTTAATAAATAAATATTTAACTAGTTTTTAGGTGTATCTAACTTTAAATTCTAAAGATTATATTTACTTGGAATAAATTACAAAAAAAGTTACATCATAATGTGATAAAAAGTTAAAATACATAAATAAAATAAGCACCTTCTACATAGTTGTTATTCCAGACGGACTGCTGGTAGACTGTCCTGGACGATTGAAGGAAGATGGCATGGTGCATCCACTGACAGTCGGTGAAGTTGACAAGGTACTGGAGGGGCGCAGTGTTGGCACTTTCCATCAGTGTCTGAAATGTGACAGGGATGTCGCGTGCAGGTAGGAAGCTTAAGGGTAAGGCCATGAGCTACTGTGAGTAGCAGTGATAGCTTCCCTCTTCATGAAGGTAGATGGAGATGTTTTCATGGCCTGGCACCAATGGAACTGCATCCCTTGGTAACAGCATCATGGAATTCTGTAGAATACCATAGAAATGGCATTCCAGGCAACTGAAATAAAATTTACAGCATATTAATTATATATATTATGTAGCTAATTTTTTGGGTTGTTAAATAAGATGTTTGAATTGTAAGCCTCTTTATTTAAGATATTTTGTAAGCCTCTTACAAAACTCAAAGTCCACCATGAACGTCTCTACAATTTGCCTTGTTGGAAGAGCTTCAAGGATGGCATTGAACTTATCTACAACAAAACTAGAGGTACTGTGAGCAATGAGCTCACTAATGATACCCCGCCTCCCATATTAAATGTCCATGTTTTGCTATATACTGTTTTACGGTAATGTTTAAAGAGGAATAACTCGTCGTATCTAATGTTATTCAGAAGCCACCATATACAGTGACGTCATAGGTAAGAATATACAATGTAATGGCAATGTCCACGTTTTGCTATGGGAAACCTAAAATACGTGTCGAATAAAAAAAAGTAAAAAAGGAGGTGCACAATGGCAATATGTAATAAAGATTCTGTGAAAGTTTCATTAAATATCACTCAGAAGAATAAGAGGAGTTGCGGATAAGAGATGGGTACCCCAAAGCGTAACAGACCGACGGACGGACAGCTATACAGATGGACAGACATCCCAATTACTATATACCCTCCCACTTTTCAAGCGGGGGGTACAATAAGAGGCCCCTGGGCCTTATAGGTCACCTGAGCATTATGCAACAACTTTCCAGTGATTGACTTTGATTCATGTTTTAAGCCAGATGCTATGACATTCACAATTTTGAAAAAGGCACTATTGGTCATCATAACAATATACTTCGCATTGCTTAGTTTGTTTAGTTAATACCCATACGCAGGGTAGGGGAACAAAAAATGCATTTCAACTAATCAGTAATATTCAGCAATAATCTGTAGTGCCCCTACCACACATGAACCCCTGATCCTTCGGCCTAGACCCACACATTGCACAAGTTTTGAAAAGGCATCCTTGCTTTTCAAAAATATTTGATTAATATTAAGGAGCAGATTTCAAACAATTCATTCATTTTCAGTATATAAGTACAGCCCCCTCTATGGTACCCCTGACTCTGGGGCCTTGAAATTCACAATTCTGGAAGATTAGGGCCCCATGAATTTCAAAATTTTGGTAGAGGACTCAATGCTGATTACAATCATGCAAACAGTTTGCTTGATGTCCAGGAGTAAAGAAGACTTTTAAAGATTGCACTAATTTTAGTGGTTTTGGCTCAACCCCTCAGGCCCCAGGGGGGAAGGGATCATGAAATTCAGAATTTTTATTCCCCTTCACCCATAGATGCTTTATGCCAAATTTGGTTGAAATTGGTTCAGTGGTTGCAGAGAAGCTGAAATTGTTCAAATGTTAACGCACAACGTACGAAAACGGTTAGCAATTAATAGGTCACCTGAGTTTACTCGGGTGACCAAAAAATGCTACTCCTCCTACAGTTTTGTACGACGGCATATTCGTGCCATTTTAACAATGTAGAATTTTTTTTAAAATCGTTTGAACGATTTAAGAAAACGTTTGTACGATTTCACAAAACGTTTGTACGATTTAATAAATCGTTTGTTTGTAAATCGTTTGTACAATTTATTAAATCGTTCATACGATTTATCAAAATAGTTTGTACGATTTTTATAAATCGTTTGAACAATTTAGGAAACCGTTTTTACGATTTAAGAAAACGTTTGTACGATTTAAAAAATTGTTCGTACGATTTAATAAATTGTTTGTACGATTTCATAAATTGTACAAACGATTTCATGAATTGTACAAACGATTTATTAAATTGTACGTTGTTAAAATGGCACGAATACGCCGTCGTTGTAATAGTTGACTACACTAATAAAAATACATAAAACAGGGCATCGGTTTTTGATTTCGTGTTGCCATTGTTACTAAAAGTAGAAATTTTTGTAAAATGTTTTTAGCTCACCTGAGCCGAAGGCTCAAGTGAGCTTTTCTGATCACATTTTGTCCGTCGTCCGTCCGTCCGTCTGTCCGTCTGTCCGTCCGTCCGTCTGTCTGTCTGTCCGTCCGTCTGTAAACTTTTCACATTTTTGACTTCTTCTCAAGAACAACTGGGCCAATTTTGACCAAACTTGGTACACAGCATCCTTGGGTGAAGGGAAATTAAAATTATTAAGATGAAGGGCCAAGTCCCCTCACAAGGGGAGATAATCAAGAAAAGACAAAAATACGGTGGGGTCATTAAAAAATCTTCTTCTCAAGAACCACAGGGCCAGTAAAGCTGAAACTTATATGGAAGCATACTGGGGTAGTGTAGATTCTAAATTGTTCAAACCATGACCCCCGGGGGTAGGGCGGGGCCACAATGTGGAATCAATGTTTTACATAGAAATATATAAGAAAAATCTTTAAAAATCTTCTTCTCAAGAACCACTGGGCCAGAAAAGCTGAAACTTATGTGGAAGCATCCTGGGGTAGTGTAGATTCTAAATTGTTCAAATCATAACCCCCGGGGGTAGGGCGGGGCCACAATGTGGAATCAATGTTTTACATAGAAATTAATAGGAAAAATCTTTAATAAAATATTCTTCTCAAGAACCACTTGACCAGGAAACCTAAAATTATGTGGAAGCATTCTGGGATTGTGTAGATTTTAATTTAAATTGTTCAAATCATGATCCCCTTGGGGTAGGGTGGTGCTACAATAGTGAGTCAAAGTTTATATTGATATATGTAGAAAAATCTTTAAAAAGTTTCTTAAAAATCAATAGCCAATGGGTCAGAAAAGATTAGACTTATATAGAAACATCTTTAGGAATTTTTATTTTAAATTGTTTAAATCATGGGGAAGGGTGCTGTTTTTTTCCGTAGTGTTTTTTGCGATCGGGTTCGTTATTCCGAATATCACGATCTCCGATATCAGAACGAGGCTCTTTGTTATAACAGCCACGTTGCGTCGGGAGAAAGACAGCATTCGAGAACGGATCCAGTTTTAACTTAAATTCAGATACCTGATTTGTTTTAGTTCATTTGTACAGGTAACATGCATTTTAAACATCGAACCGATTGAATGATGTAGATGCTACGTTTTCATTTGCGCATTTGAGTTGACCAAACATTTTATTTGTAGTTTTTGAAGCTTTTGACGTTGCAAATTGTTTACGAATTCAACAGTCATTCGGCAATCAGTATGTATCGCCAATAAAGTCTGATGTGTAATGATTTTAAAAGGGAAACTATTGATTTTTAATGCCATATTTGTGCAGATATGGTCCATGCTTATTCACATAGGTTAAAAAAAAATAATAATGCACCGGAAAGGACGTGATTGAAACTCGCACTGTATCGCAGTAGATATAGGAGCAAGATGTAGAAAATGGCAAAACAATTTAGAATAGAAGATATATATTCTTATTGATGAATAATAATCGAATTGTACAGGTTATGGATAAAAAAGTAAAACAGGAAAAAAAGAAAAACATGGTATAATGTATTATGGAATCCAGTAAATTTGAAGTAACATATGCCATAGTCTTCTGGCCGTAGGGTCATGAAACATACGTAGACTTCAGTCAAATTTTCAACCCCATGTAGAATGTTTATCAACAATGTAATTAATCTAAATACTTGCAAATAACAACATTTGTTTGAATTAATACTAAAACATTTTTTAAATAAATTTTAATTGCTTGATATCCACAACATTGAAGAATAATATAAACAAGCTAATTCAGAGAATTCGTGTCCCCCGCTGAGGGAAAAAGTCGGCTCCCCCTGACTGAATTTGTAGAATTATTAAATGTATACATGTATACTGAAGGAAATAAAATACATGTATGTCAATATGCATATAAATATTTGATTGCTTATTCTTTATTATGTGTATAGAAGATTTTTTTATATGGAATATTTATCACACTGTAATGATGATTTTATAACCTCATAAATTTTTCATTTCACATGCTGAATACTATCATTTAGTAAAAAAAAAAGTATTTAAAAAAAAAAAAAAGGTTCGACCGAGATTCGATCCCGGGACCTCTCACACTTGAAGCGAGAGACATAACCACTAGACCAAGGAGGCGCTTTAACCGGAGTGAAGTATATGCAGAACTGAAGTCACATACATGTATATATTCATGTTTTCATGTTCGGTATTCTCAAAATTTTACACAATCCATGGTGTTTGATTTATTTAGCCTTTATTAAACAGTTCTAATAGATGTAATAAGAACATAAAGTCCGCCGAGAACCTGTTTAATACGCAATAACTCTCCTCATGCCCCTGTGCTAAAAATAGCGACATGTAATACTATAAATACTAATAAAACAAACGGGGCGGGGCACTTTGAGAGGGGCGAGAGACGTCCTAGGGAGTTTTGGTATAAAATTACATTGCATAAGCTCAAAATCTTCTTGAAATATCGCCCGGAAATGATAGTGTTACACACAGACAGAATGTATAAATTTACGACCTTGAACTTTGACCTTTTGACCTCAAAATCAATAGGACTCTTCTTTAGGCCACAGGGAGTTGTTATGTAAAATTTCATTGCGATAGCTCAAATGGTTCTAGAGATATCGTGTGGAAACGAAAGTGTTTTAACAGACAGAATTTGCTTATCTATGACCTTGACCTTTGACCTTTTGACCCCAAAATCAATAGGGGTCTTCTTTAGTCCATAGGGAGTTGCTATGCTAA